TCGCTCCTTCTTTGGAGTTCCTCAGGTCAGCGCCCCGACGGTATAATGTTGGTGTTGGTATGTCCTCCTGCGCCCCGTTGCTGGCTCACCTCGGCCCCCCGAGCCGGCTCCCCCCCCCGGACGACGACGACGCCCACGCCTTCGCCACGGCGGCGGGCCTGGCCCGGCACCACAGCGGCTTCCGGCCTGCCCGGGAGTTCATGGACGAGGCTAGCCTCGGCGCCGTGCAGGCCCGGCGGCTGCCCTCACGAGGGCGGGGCCCGCCTCGAGCCGATCGATGTCCGCCTCGGCGCCGCACCGTCGCACGCGGCTGGCCCGGCGCGATTCGGCTCCGAGGTTCCGTCGATCTGGCCCGATTCGATGCCGGTCTTTCTGTGAGTCGTCGTTTTGCCGATCGGCGCGGGCCCTCACACCCCTTCCTCCCCCCCCCGCCCCGTGGAGTAGATCTTGGCTGTTTTGGGCGCCTGTTTCGAGCGGGTGGAGCCCCTCCCCCACAGGACGCCCTGCTGCAAACAGTCGCACTAAGAAGGGGTCCAGAGGCAGCACCCCCCTCCCCCTCCCTTTCCGCCCGATGTCGAAACGCCGAATGAGAAAACGCTCACTGTGGGGGCGTTTGGTTACAGGAGCGTGCCCGGGCTGCTTCAGACCTTGGATGGTCTCCTGTCTGGTGAGGGTGGCGGTGCCATCCGTGGTCAAGCCTCAGTCTAGCAATTGCACCAGCTTCAAGCCCTGGATTCCTTATCCGATGGTTCCTCTTCCAGTCCAGGGCCCACGGTTTCGGGTCCCTGGAGGCGGCAAGGGGCCGCGGCCGCGAGGCCCGCGCCGAGCGCGCGGCGGTTGGGCGCGGGGGCAGAGGACCCCAGGAGGGCGAGCCATGAGCGGCTTGCCCCTGGGAGTCCCGCCCGCGCCAAACAATGTCTGAATTCGACAAGGGCGCTTGCGCCTGCGAAGAGGTAACAAAAAAGATGCCCCCCACCGAATTCCGACGATCCGATGCGGCCCGATGCATGCAAGGCGCTGCAGCGTATCTTGGCGTGGCCGATCCAATCAGGGCTGCCCCCCTCGCGCCACCCCGAGAGGGAGGAGGAGGGGGAGGGGGAGGGGGAGGGGGATGGGGGAGAGGGGAGGAGGGAGGAGGAGGAGGAGGAGGAGGAGGAGGAAGGAGGAGGAGGAGGAGGTAGGAGGAGGAGGAGGAGGAGGAGGAGGAGGAGGAGGAGGAGGAGGGGGGGAAGCGGGATCGGGGAGGGGGAGGAGGAGGAGGAGGAGGAGGAGGAGGAGGAGGAGAGGGGGAGCGGGATTAGGAGGAGGAGGGGAGGAGGAGGAGGAGGAGGAGGAGGAGGAGAGGAGGAGGACTAGGAGGAGGAGGAGGAGGAGGAGGAGGAGGAGGAGGAGGAGGAGGAGGAGGAGGAGGAGGAGGATCGAGTTGGAGCTGGTGGATGCCACCAGCAGGAGCAGCTTGGCGAGGTGTGCAGGACCCACGGGCAGCGCGTCCAGCGGCGGCTGACGGCGCCCCGCCTGGACTCGGGGACCGTGGACACCTGCAGGCGGAAGCACGGCTACAACTCCCTGCGCTTCGAGCCTTGCTTGGTGCTCGTTGGCTGCAAGCGCGTGGACCCGGAGGACGCCGGATCACGAGCGGCGGTCACGTCCGCGTGCTCCGTGCGGCGAGGGCGTTCGTCAGGGAACGTGCCCAGGAGTCGTCAGATTCAGGGGGATGCCTTGTCTGGTGAGGGTGGCGTTGGCATCCATGGCAAAGCCTCAATGGGTGCTCCTTCGACTTTTCAGACCCTGGGTTCCTTCTCCAAGGGTGCCTTCTCCAATGCCCTCGCCGTATCCGCGCCCTCGCGGTCCTGGTTCTGTGGCGCGATCGCGTGGATTCGCGGTCACATGGATACGTTCAGTGCGTGGGTCGCGGCAAAGGGTCCCGGCCCGCGAGGCCGTGGATGTTGAAATGCACGAGTCAGTGGAGGACACCGATGTTGCTGCCTTTCGGGGGCCTCCTGGGAGGGCCTTCTGAGAGGTCTCGTTGACACTGCTTTTCATGACGCCTCGCTTTCACATGTTTGGGTGTCTCCTGAGAGGCCTTCGTCGCGCTGGCTGGATTCGCCACGGAATTGTGGTCAGAGCGCACCCAGGGAGAGAGGGCTGGGGAGCAGCGCTGTCGGTGCCTTTTTGGTCTCCTCAGGAGGACCTCCTGCCCTTCCACGGGCCCTGGTTCTCTCAGCTCCCGTACGACATTGTGGCCTGGCAGCAGCCCGCTCCCATGTGCTGCGCGGATGCTTACAACATCGACATGAGGGACGAGCACCTGCGCGAGGTCTTCTTCCGCAAGATCGGCTTCCAGGATCCCACGAGAGTGAACTTGGGCAGCGTCGGAGACGCGGGCGCGAAGCAGATGATGGGCCAGTCGTTGCAACAGGGCGCCAAGGCCATGAAGCACCTGCTGGCCTACGAGATCAAGGACGAGCCTACTGTGGAGTGGCTGGCTGGATTCATTCTCGAGGTTTGCGCCATTCCGACCCGAAGAAGCCCAGAGGAAACAATGGGAAGCGCATGAGGAGGAGGAGGATGAGAAGGAGGAAAAGGATAAGGCTCTGGAGGACGTGCCCTATTGGACTTTTTGGGAAAATTGTTGGACCTCTTCGAGCATTCTCTGCGTCTCTTCTGGGTCTCAGGGCAGGTTTCGCTTTGGAGGGTCTCAGAACCATGTTGGGGCGTCCAAGGGCCGTCTGGGGATTGCCTTCGAGGCCTGCTGGGGGCCTCTGGGGCCTTCTTGAAATCATCTCGGGGACTTATGGGCTGTCTGTCTGAGGGCCACTTGGGGGCCTCTTGGGCCCTGCTGGAGGTATCTGGAGCCCATCTTGGGCTTGTCTTGAGCAGCACGCAAACCAGCCACCGTGCCCCGTGCCCAGTGGACGACCCTCATGTTAAACACTTCCTCCCAGGCTACCCACCTTTCCCTGAGTTGGGCGGGGGGCCTTCAGACCCTGGAGGATTTCCTATCTGATGAGGGCGGCAGTGGTATCCTTGGCCAATCCACGACTAGAGCTCCACCGACTTCCAGATCTTAGGCTTACGCCACACCGCCGACCCCTTGTTTATGCCAATCTGGGGGTAGTAGAAGCTGCGAAGGGGTGAAAAGGCGAGTGATGTTTGTTTGGTGTCTGTTCGCCGCCACCGCCAGAGGGTCTCGGGCAGTTCCGCGGGGGGGTCCGAGCGCACGGCGACACCGCGGGCGGTCGTGGTCTCATCTGGGGCCATCTGAGAGGCATAATGGAGCCAGGTTGGGCTCGGGAATGTCTTCGAGCCGTTTCGGTAGCGGTCGGGAGTTTTTTTGGGGGACTGCCCAGGAGTCATGATGGGTCAACTTGGCCATGTGCGAGGCCACGGCGCGTGCAAAGGGTGTGCCGGCATGGGGTATACTTGCATGCGAATGTTCCCACTGGGCCCCACGGTGGACGTATTCTGGAGCCACGACACGATCGACGTGTGTGTGCGCGTGGGGTTGGAAGTTTACGTGACCGCGGGTACTGGGGCTATGGTTGGAGCGCGCCGTGGAGCCACGAAATGTATGAGGGACGTGCCCAATGTTGGCGGGGAACCGCGCGTATATTCGGGTTCTGGGGCCTTTTACTCAAGTTGCCGCGTGCGGGGTGTGCCGAAACGGAGGCATGTTCAGTAGATGGAAGCGCCACGGCACCTCGCGGCACGCCTCTCGGGGGCCTATGGCAGGCAGTTTGGAACCACTTGGGGGCCCAGGTGGAGGAAAAGGAGGAGGAGGAGAAGGGGGACACGGAGAAACGGCTCTGGGTTATGGGTTATGGGTTAGAGGCGTCTTGTATGTGTATCGGGATCTCGCGGCACGCCTCTCGGGGGCCTATGGCAGGCAGTTTGGAACCACTTGGGGGCCCAGGTGGAGGAAAAGGAGGAGGAGGAGAAGGGGGACACGGAGAAACGGCTCTGGGTTATGGGTTATGGGTTAGAGGCGTCTTGTATGTGTATCGGGATCTCGCGGCACGCCTCTCGGGGGCCTATGGCAGGCAGTTTGGAACCACTTGGGGGCCCAGGTGGAGGAAAAGGAGGAGGAGGAGAAGGGGGACACGGAGAAACGGCTCTGGGTTATGGGTTATGGGTGAGAGGCTTCTTGTATGTGTATCGGGATCTCGCGGATCGCTTCTCGGGGGCCTCTGGAAGCGAGTTTTGGAGCCACTTGGGGGCCGTTTCGGAGCCTCTGGGGTGCTTCTTGGGGGTTCCTTGGGGCGTCTGGGCGGCCTCGTGAGGGCCTCTGGGGGCCTCTTGGGGCACTCTTGGGGCCCCCTGGGGCTCCTGGGGGCAGAAAGCTAGAGTTTCAACATGTTTGGTCGCCCTCTTGGGCCCCTCTTGGTGCCGTCTTGGAGCCCTCTTGGGCCGTCTTGGGGACCTCTTGGGCCGTGTTGGGGCCGTCTTGGGCCGTCTGGAGGCCGTCTTGGGGGCCTCTTGGGCCATCTTGGGGCTGTTTTGGGGCCTCTTTGGCCGTCTTGGAGCGTCGGGAAGCCGAAAAGGCGGAAAAGCAAAAAACATAGAAAAACACTATTGGAAAATCAACAATTTTAGACTCTTGGGGCCCTCTTGGGAGGCTTGTTTGGGACCTCGGGGGCCGTCTTGGAGACCTCTTGGCCCGTCTTGGGGCCATCTTGGGCGTCTTGGAGCGGTCGTTTGGCGTCTCGGGGCCTTCGTGGGCCGTCTTGGAGGCCTCTTGGGGGCTTCTTGGCCCGTCTTGAGGCCCTCTTGGGCCCGGAAAAGCCCCGTGAACCGCTCGTCCCGGCCGTGCTGCGCTCGTCCCGGCCGTGGTGCGCTCGTCCCGGACCCCCCCCCCCCCTCCAAATCGACCGGACCGAGCTCCCGGGGTAGGGGTTTGGGGAGGGGGAAGCATCTCACACGCCGATGATCGCCAATCCACGACTAGAGCTCCACCGACTTCCAGATTCTGGTTTCCTTATCCAAGGGCTCCTTGCCCAATGCCCTCACCGCGCGGGGGCCGCAAGGCGGTCGCCCACAGGCCCTTCGAGAGTCGCCCTTGCAGCGAGGGCGCGGAGCGGCTCATGAGCTTGTTCCTTTGCATGCAGGTGCCCTGCCTCGGTCGGGCACGCGGAGAGATAACAAAAGTAGCCCTCGCCGCAGCTCCCCTCAGGCCCAGCTCCCTTCGGGCCCAGCTCCCATCGGACCCCCCCAGACATCCGGCGTCTCGATTTTTCCGAGGCGCGGGCCCCCGACCTCTCGACCGCTTCCCCCGGACCGGTTTTTTCATCACGGGCTGTTTTTTGACGGTCCCGAGGCCCAGGGAGGGCCCCGAGAGGCCGCACACGTTGGAAAACCTCTGTCTCGATTTTGCTCGAGACGCCAGATGTCTGGGCTCGCCCGCCCAGCTCCCTTTGACCCGCTTCCCCTGGGCCGGAAGCTGGCAGGGGGGGGGTCCGAGGCCCGGCGAGCTCGAAGCGGGCGCGCTGTCCGAGAGGGGAGCGCACAGGGTCGTGAGGCCGGCCAGGGCCGCAGGCAGGCGTCTGCACGCATCCGGGTGGGCCGTCTCGGGCGAAGCGGGCGAGCTGCCTAGAGCCCCTCGAGTCATGGAAAAATCGTGACGGCAGGTTTCTCTCAATGTTCGGCCTCTGGAGGCCCTCTCCGGGCCTCGGGGCCGTCAGAAAACGACTCGGGATGAGAAGCCGGTCTTGGGGAATGGGTCCAGACCTCAGGGGGTCGACGGCATGAAAAACTCATGACGTCGAGGTTCTGGGTGGAGAGGTGCAGAGCGGCGGCAGCCGAAGCGGTGGCTCGTGTTTTGGCACAACTCGTGCCAGGAAGAATCCTAGGTACAGCGTCCAGCGCTACAGTGGGGGCCCATGCCAAGAAACGCCCTGCATGTCTCCAGGGTGTCCTGGGTTTCTTGGGTTTCGATGGCTTTGCTGTGGAAGGCGTGACGTTCCCACACCCAAAAAGTCAATGGACGTCCTGGGTCTCAGGGTTGGGTTTCTTGTGGAAGGCTTCTTGTGGTCGAGCTCTTACTGTACAGGCTGTCCTGCGCGCCGGAGCAATGGAGATAAACGCGGAGACTGCATTTCTGCGCGGGACGCAGGACAGAAAAGGGAACGGAGAGGGTTGTTGGGGATTGCACTCCTCCGTTCGCGCCAAAATGGCGGGGATGTCTCGAGCGGCTTGCCCGTTTCACCACCCAGCATCATCCGCTTTTGCAGGAGGAGGACGAGGAGGACAAAGAGGAGGAGGAGGAAGAGGAGGAGGAGGAGGAGGACGAGGAGGAGGAGGAGGAGGAGGAGGAGGAGGAGGAAGAGGACGAGGAGGAGGAGGAAGAAGAGGAGGAGGAGGAAGAAGAGTCCCAATCGTTCCCCGACACCGGCGTCTCCTCCCGAGTCGTCTTCACTGGCGGCCCCCGGGCACGGCGAGGGCCCCCAGGTGCCAGAGCGTGCCAGAAACCTTCTTGCGAGGGCAGGGAGCGCGGCAGGGGGGAGGGAGAGGGACGAAGGAGGAGGGGGAGGGGGAGGAGGGGGATGGGGGAGGAGGGGGAGGAGGAGGAGGAGGAGGAGGAGGAGGAGGAGGAGGAGGAGGAGGAGGAGGAGCATCTGGGGCCGAGGAGGTGCTGGACCGAAGGGCCCAGCCCCCTCTCAGGGTCATGCAGACATCACGACGGGAGGTCTCTCTGTACAGTGGGGGCCCATGCCAAGAAACGACCTGCATGCCTCCAGGGTGCCCTGGGTTTCTTGGGTTTCGATGGCTTGCTGTGGAAGGCGTGACGTTCCCACACCCAAACATCGACGGACGTCCTGGGGTCTCAGGGTTGGGTTTCTTGGGGAAGGTTTCTTGTGGTCGGGCCCCCACTGTATTTTCGGTCTCTGGGGGCCCTGACCGGGCTCCAGGACTGTCCAAAAAACGATTCAGGATGAGAAACTGGTCTTCGGGAATGGGTCCAGACCTTGCGGGGTCGACGTTGTGCAGAAATTACGACGTCGAGGGTCTGGGGAGTTTTTTTTCTGTGTGTGTGTGTGTGTGTTTGTTTTTTTTCCGAGGAACTGGAGTAGGTGCGGCACGCTGCGCCGCGCGCAGGCTCGCGCCCGTGCTGCGCAGCTGGCGGGCGCAGCTGCCAGGCGCAGCCGGACGGCCTCGCCGGGCAGAGGGCTCCGAGCGGGCATGCGTCGATGGCCACCCCAGACCCCCTCGGGTCATGAAAAGCTCATGACGGGAGCGTGTTCCCCATTTTCGGCCTCTGGGGGCCGTTGCCGGGCCTCGGGGCCGTCAACAAAACGACCCAGGAAGAAAAACCGGTCCCAGGGAAGGGCTCCAGACCTCTGGGGGTCGACGTTGTACAAACATCGAAACGTCGGGGGTATGTTTCTTTGGTGTTCAGAGGAAGTGGATGAGTAGGTGCTGTACCCGGGCACGCTGCATGTGCCGCGCTCAGGCTCGCGCCCGTGCTGCGCAGTTGCCGCGCCAGCTGCCAGGCGCAGCTGGCTG